TTTTCAGTCCAAAATTAAATACTTTAGTAACTTTAGGGCTAAAACGACAGTGCATCTGTAAATCGGTGGCAAACCCTTTCGGGGTGTTCCGTACGATAAAAAAGGGAAACAAAAGGAGTACAGAAATTCTTTTGTACTCTAGACCAAATTGATTTCTAGTTAAAAAAACGTTGGTTTATCAAGAATAATATCCCTCTGACAAAGGCACGAGATCTCCGACCTCTAGTTTGTATAATGTGTTTCAGCGTGTAATTTCTATGAATGTATGTTTTAATGTATGTGCCCAGGGATACCTGAAAAAACAGATCAATGGATCTGAGGTATGCACTAGTGAAATAGATAAACTTGAAACTTGACCGGGTCATGGACACGAGAACTGGATTTATTTAAATAATTTTTTACTCTCAGTGTCGGTGGTGTCAGCAGTACTTATTTCGGAAGTAGCCCCCTGGTTCTCACATGGTTTACACATTGTTCCTCGCACTATTTCATAATAGTAAGAGTAGTCACAGTCACAGTCAGCACATTTCCGCCTCGGCAAATCAAAATGCAAGGTCAAGTGAGTCTTATTGATGAGGTCTGGGATAGACCTACTAGCTGCGTTTTCATCCTTGTCCCTAGCATAACATATTCCATTAATCCTTGTACGGCCAATTTTATTTAGATATCATAGAGTAGATTTTAGTTTTTGTATGTTGTACCTCTGAAGAATTTGCTGTACATTGTACCTGTGACTGTTTGTGCAATAAAGTTCGATTGATTAATGTATCTATTATCAACCCAATAATGTCCAATACATAGTAGTTCTCCGAAAGATTTTCAAACCACACGGATTGTACCTAAACATAACGATAAATAGCTAGAGTTTTAACTCTATGGGTACTCAATTAATGAGACTTAACAATCTCACCGATTGAGTACCCACCACCAAAAATACATACTAGATATGGGAATGGAAAGGATGGAAAGTGTTGGAACGAATTGACTTGTTTTGTCATAGAGCTCGTTGTGTTTCATGGACTGTCTAGTTTTGTCGAAGAGCTCTGTTTACAAAGCCAAGAAGTCACATTGAATTGACTTAATATCCAAAGAGCTCTATACAAACGTACCCTGTAACCACTCAAACCATCTAATCGACTTGTTTTGTGCGCCGGGCTCTATTTACAAAGTCCTGACTAAAAATCGTGACGCCAACCAACATATTGACTTGTGTTTGTCGCAGGGCTCTGCAGAGATATCACTGAGGCTGTGAGACCAGCTCCATGCAGGAGCTCTGCAGAGCTGTAGGATGTACGATAAAGGTACTGCCCCTTCCTGGTCGTATCTAAAGAATTATCGTACTTTTGTAAGGAAAGTCATTTTAGTCAAATTCAAGTCAAATTAGCTTCTATAATATCACAGAGATTGAGTTAAAATACTAGTGATTAAAGGTTGCACTAATGCATCCACTGGATAATTTTTACGTACTTTCATAAGATCTTTCATGTTTTGTGAACTTGGGTATAGTAGTGTCCAAAACATTCCGAGGACCTCATTATCTTCGAAAAACATTGTTGAAGCTTCCGACGGACGAATCACACATTTTCTCTGTGAAAATGCAAATTAGATCTTATTTTCATTATCATGTCTTATTTTCTCCACTCAGTCTAATCTTAGCAAAAATACTAGTCTAGCATTTCCTTTGTATTATGCAAATTAGTTACAGATTTGAATCAGTCATTTTAAATCATGTACACCTTTACTTGACTTCCAAATTCTTGACTATATAATTATAGCAAATTCCTATTGATTATTCAAGTTTCGTATCACTTACGTAAAATCGGTGTACCGACCTTTCTCCCGTTCTCAAAACCAATTGTCAAAAGTTTGAATAGTCCGAAAATAAAAGGCCGTAGACTTAAAGGATTCCATCAATAATTATGGAAATTATAGAATAATATGCATAATAGTTTTAATATGTAGAGCATCACCTAAGCCAACCTTAAAACAAAATCAATTTCCGTTAGCTTGTTGTTAAATTTTCTTTCCTTAGACCACACTGACTTAATTTTATAGATGACATCCGCGCGCGCATTGATTTTCACCTGTCCTGAAAAAAAAGATCACATCCACCGATCTAGGCCTGGGTAGCCCATGGTAGTTAACGACAATACGGAGCCCGTGGTAACTCTGGAGGATAGCACTCCGGCTACAGAAGCTCCACGAGTCAAGAACTCAATACATACAGTGCCGATTCATAAATCACGCAAAAAGCCACATGTGCTGGCTTGTCGTATACGTCGCTAAGTACTGCAAATTCACAACACCATTTTTTTTTATTTCCGTGGTTTTATAGATTTTGGCCGGAATTTTTCTATTCGCCCGCGCGCACCTTGTTCGGGGGTCGATTATCCATAAAATTAAGCCAGCGTGGCCTTAAAGAATTTTTAACAAATGCCCCTACTCGTTTTAGAACAAGCTGTTAGAGAACCTAAGCTAACGCCCTGTCTTCCCGAGCAGAAAAGCTATCAACCTTTATTTATTTATTTATTCAGCTATCAACCTTGCAAATTCATAATATCTAAATGGCTTAACTGAGTGGACGGATGCTAACTTCATGGCTCTGATTGTGACTAAATGCAAACTGATGGTGTTCTGCTTGTTCCGGAATCCACCCGCACCGCCGGTAATCACCATCGGAACCTCCCAACTTGAAGTGGTTCAGGCAGCGCGGATCCTGGGACTTATTCTTCTGTACAACCTGAAATGGACAGGGCATGCCACCTCGATCGTCCGGTAAGCTAGTAAAGACTCGATATGCTAAAATCCTGAAGAAACATGGTCTGGACACGAGCTGTCTCATCGTCATCTACATCGGGTTTGTGCGGCCTGTGCTGGAGTACACATGCGTGATATGGCACCCTGGACTGACCACAGAACTGTCGGAAAAAATTGGAGGAGTGCAGAAAGGATCACTAAGGGTAATACTTGGGCCCGAATATGACTATTATCACACGGCTCTGGACACTACAGGCCTTAGAAGATTAGATACCAGACGGGATGAACTGTGCCTAAGGTTTGCTCTTTCTCTCAGAAGCAGTGAGAAATACCGTGCTTGACTGCAATCACAAATGAGGATGTACACAATAGAACACATACACAAGTAGGAACAGCAAGGATAGTAAGAAACTGACACAGCGTATGCTTAACAGTACATATTGTATTTACATGCTGAATGATAGTAATAATTGTTATAATAGAATTAGTAATCTTTTAGTTTTTTAGACTCTTGGTCGTGCTGAGAATGGTTTTATTCTTTTAATAAACCATTCTCTGACTCTCTCTCTCTCTTTCTCTAAATCATCTTACAGGATTAAATGTTTCCATTGCTTACATACCTGGAATATTGGATCCCCCAAGACTATTTGCCACATATCCCTGCAACAAAATGCCCAAGGTGCACCACAGACACCGTTCGAGGGCGTGGATACTTGCCAGTAGTTCCGCCGGATGTACAGCCGTCTGTACAGATCCAGGATCAGCGCTTCCAGGGTCTTTGAGTGGGCTATAGTGTCTCTTTCTAGAGGTTGAGGACAATCCCAACAGTTTGGAGCCTATTACATATGCTATCCAAAGGGTTACTACAGTTACTTGGTGTGGCCTTAGCTAAACCATGGTTCAGAGTCATGGGTGCTGACAAAGAAGGACCTCAGTAGACTAGAGGCAGCTGAAATGAGAGTAGTACGCACCATGCTAGACAAAAGCAGACTGGATAAGATCCGCAACACCCATCTGAGAAATATGCTGGGCATAACCTCAGTCGCCGATGACATTGAGAGATATGCCCTCAGATGGTTAGGCCACGTACAAAGGATGAATCCAGACCGAATCCCAAAAATGGCCTTCGACCTCAAACTAAAGGGTAAACGCCCACAAGGAAGACCGAGAAAACAACGGCGGGATAATGTGCAAGAAATATTGACACACCGCAGGATTGGGAGGTTAGAAAGGCTAGAAGAGGAAGGAGTCTTCCTAGACCGGAAGGAATGGAAACGACGCTCTGAGCTGACAGGCACTAAAGCCTATCTGGGGATGATGTAAGATGTAAGTAAGACCTTAGCTAAAAGGCAAAGTAGGCAAGACTCCATATGGCAGAAAGTCGTTTACAGTTCATGCAAATGATGTTCTTATTTGCATAATTAATAAGAAACATTTTTGGGTCATAAAGGTTAAAATCTTGGTTAACACCTTGGTTCCTATGGTTTAAACCATCGTGCCGTATAAAGAAAAAATGACGAGGCGACAGCATTGTGCTCTAGGGACCTGTTTCTGCTCTTGCCAAGTTTGGTAGCCGTGTTTTTTAAGAGAGGACCTGGGGGTTCTGCAAACTCGCTTGACCAAACGCACTGGCACCACTGGCCGTTGAAAACAGGTGGGTATTATGACACACGTATAGGAGCAAATATCTCATATCTATATATACATATTTATCATATTTTGTGATGTTATTCATCCGCTATATATAATACATATACATGTATTACAAATTACGATGCAAGACACACTGGCTTATACTAAATTAGCACATTCACAATAATTAGTTTAAGTTGTTGTTTAGTTGTTTAAGCTATTGTTTGTTTCGCATAACCGGTAAACCGCCTTCAGGCGTAACACACCAGTTTTGTACATGTGCGCACATGTACAAGCTGCGTAAGACCGGACTGTAAGGTTTTGAACCACTCACACCGGGAAGATCCCCTACTCTTTTCGATAAGTGCGGTGGGTTCTTTAACGTGCATGGGGTGTGGCTCTCCCAAACACGGGACCTCCATTTAACGTCCTATCCGAGGGACGTCCCTAACCGAAGCTAGGTACTCATTTTCACCTGAGTGAAGTGAGGAAAGTCGTGTAAAGTGCCTTTCCCAAGGGCACAAGATCGGTGACATGGGCAGGGTTCGAACCCACAACCTCTGGGGTGTGAGCCGAACGCGCTACCGACTGCGCCACACGACCCCATTAGATTTAGTTGTACGCCAAGTGTTACTCCAGAGGAAGGTGACCACACTAACCCTGTTCCTGCTGTGTACCAACTTATTACTGTGCCTTGACAATGCACACCCTGGTTAGCCTACAGCTAACTTTTTGATGATATAGGTGAATCCCAGTACAGGGGCTCTTACCATTAACTTGTTTGTATACGTCTCACAACTTTTACCAAGGATTCGTTTATTGCTGTATGGTTAAGAAGTGCAGTAACTTGGGTTCATACGGACCGAAGCAATAATTATTCGTTATAGTTTTACATCTTTTGATAACCTCTCTTCCTCTCAACCTATACTCAAAATCAGTATATAATATTATTACTAATAATAATAAAGTCAAACAATCACTTTCCTTCAGAGGATTTTGCAATGTGAAAGTGAAATGTTTCTCATGGGCTATAAATAAGTGCCAATACAACACGTACAGAAATAAGTAACGGAAAATGTATTCTCGGAACAAAGATAACAATTGTGATCCCTAAGATTAGTATTGAGGTGTTCAAGTTTCTAAATGATACAGACTATTACTGACGTAATCAAAATCATACCTGGAGATAACAAAATGGTAAAACAATAGCAATTTTTGAATAAAAGATTGAATGTGATTTTGATGGTCCCATATTATTTTTCATTCAACTTCAGAAAGAATAATCCTTATAACAAATACATACATAAGAAATGAGCTACTAAGAAAAGTTTAAAGCCAAATAAGAGGCACCTGGATTGGTCTTCAACAAAGAGATACCCCTTCCTGTATTATGAAACAATTGTCGCCAAGTAAGTCTGCCAACGCTTTTTGGACTTTGTTTTTAAAGAAGAAAGGTTAAAAAAAAGTCTCGACTTAATTGGTTTATTGTAAATAGAGCAGACTAGAGAGTACATAAGAAATCGGCCATGAGCAATTGAGGGAATACATTGGAAACCTCCAAATTATCCTGTATGTTACACCTATTATAGAAGATTTACGAATGCCATGAACATAACTTAGATCAATAAACTGAAATGAAACACCTTGAAAAAGTCAAAACACCGGTATCAGAGTTTGGCAGTTCGGTTTGCTGGCCATCTCAGCCATCTTCCAAAGCCAAGTATTTCTCTTTGATTTATGATTAAGAAGGAATTTTGACTAAACATTCTTTTCAACTTTTTATTCATGTTGCCCAAAAATGAGAAGAAAAAAAAAAGAAGAAAAATGTTACACGGTGTCTTTGCCTTTAAACAAATAAATGGCGGCATGCATCCTGTCAAAAATACAGTGTGGGAATATATGTTACTATAAGGCATTGTGTGGGGGTTTCAAGGAATTTTTACTGAAAAAAACACACTGTTTGGGGTTTTGTAAACCAACGTTACTACATGCACTGTGTGGGTATGGAGGACAATGAAAACACTTATAATATCGAGAAGCACTTCATGGAATTTTAAGGTATATATGTAACATTCTATGGTGGAAAGAGAGTATGGACTGAAATATGCTGTATTTGCTCCCGAGCGAATGTCTGCCTTTCTAGTCTAATCGTGACTTTATATGCTGATGTATATATGGGTAACGGTTTTTGTGGTAAATCTGTAAAGACAGGGAGTCAAAACGTACTAAAGCCATGGCCCAAAAAGGTCTCCATGTAATGCAGGGTTTGCCCTAGAGTCAGGGGATGGCCAAAATGGTGGCACAGCAGTCTTGTTGTATGACGCTAGCTTCTTTAGGAGCACTTTGACCATATCAGGGTACTTTTCAGACAAATCTGTTCTCTCGTGTGGGTCGTCACGAATATTAAACAGCCATAGGTGCTTGTCATGTGAGTCTTCTGGCTCTTCAAAATGATTGCCTGATGTGCCTCGATGTTTCCAGCCTCCCAGGTCTAAAAATACATATGTCAGACATGTTAGATTTTTCTGGTGACAAGACTTACAACACATGGTTCAACACACACAAACGCACAGAAAAACTAACGCATTGGGATTTTACCATGTAAAATAAAACATATAAAAGGAATGAAATACACTGCATCAATTTACACACTCAAGTCCTTTGTAAAGCCGTTTTCTTCTAATTTCTATTGTTGTTATCACGCCATCAACGTGACAGAAGGTGTAATGATCTTTGTTTTTCATAATAGCTTTTGTAGGGTTAAAATTGTTAATTAAATCATGTGCATCATGACATCTATTATCACTGTCTAATGGATTTTAACCCTGTC